TTTTAGCTACTGCTAACGTTAGTTTTCTTTACCCTGAGTAAATGTAAGATATAAAAGACCAAAATTTGAGATCAAAAAAGAAGATCCGTAACTTTTATCTAATATATTATTGATGTGAGTACATTAAAATATCAAAAAAATAGGTGATAAGCTATCGAACTCCGTATTTTACAAAAAAAATAATGAAAAATGTCTTTTCGGTCCAACAACAACTGACAGAGCCGGAAATAAACCGTTCTAGGAATCTTCAGGTTTTCGTGGTGGGACCCAAAATCAAAAAATTTAGACGAAAAATTTTTTTTTAATTTTGTATTTTTAAAAGTTAAGTTAAAACTCATATTTTGCCACCCAAAAAAATACATGTAAAATACCTCAAAATAGGTGATAAGCTATCCTAGGACCCGATTAATCTTATTATTTCTATTAACTAAGCCTTCTCCTAGCCTCCCCATGCATACAACCACGAACCGACACGATCCATAGTACCGTTGACCCGAGCTGTTGCTGACCCGAAAAGTCGTAGCGCCAAAAAATTTCGCTAAATTCTAACGTGTAAATAGCACAAAAAGTCAAAATGGCCGTGAAATTTTGGAAAGGAGGAAGTAAATTTTTAACCAGCAAAAAGAACAATGTTTGGAAATTAAATGTAATGCAGAAAATGAAATTATTTCGAGAGACAAAAAGCTTGAATGTACAAAGAATTCTTTGCAGTCGAAAAGAGCAACTGCAAGGCGACGTGAAATTAAAAAAAAATTTCCACTAAAATTTGGGAAAATTTTAGATCCCTTCGTTGAGACTAAAATATTCAGCGATCTTTTGCAGCCGAGAGATTGCGAAGAGTCATAGCGAGAGAAATTTTTCTGCAAAGTCATTGCAAATTCCGATCAGAAAAGATCGATTTTTGCATAAACTTTTATTACTAATTTTGAAAAAAAGTGGAAATTTTTCATCATAAATTTCAAAAAAAAACTCAAATTTTCGCATACTATTTTTTTCATAAAGTGCGTAGACTTTTTTGATTTTTATTGCAAACGCACAGTGCATTTTCTCCAGCAACTTTTCGGACGGCCTGGCGGCGACAAGTCTACGCACTTTATGAAAATTTTAGTCCACATTATAGATGATGTAATCACAATTTCTTCCGAGGTCAACAAAATTATATTATCGCCCTGCCAATCTTCCTGATTACTAGACTTCCCTACTACATATTCATAAGCCAAAGACCACTGCTCTTAAAACTTCCCTTCCTCTTTTTTTCTCGACTCTATTTATAAGAACATCCCGTAAACTTGTAATTCGATTAGACTTCTTACATTGATCAGTGTTATAAACCCGTCCATTTACAGCCCTTTTTATACAGAACTCCTTATAACAGGAAGACAGTTGGTGATTGTGTAAAAAACTTCTTATCATCCCAAAACTCGGCTCTCTGAAAAGGAAAAATTTGAAATGCTTGAGGAAAACAGAGGCGATTCACGTAAAAATTAAGAATTTCACGGAAATTCCAAAATAAACTGCAGCTGCAATTGTTTGAGGGAGCTCGAAAAAAATGGGGAATTTTAAAACATGAGTGGCAAATGAATTAGTAATTAGTAGCCAGAAGGAAGCAAGGTGTAAAAGGTTTTAACAAATGCCCTTATTTTTAATTAACAGTTAATGGTTGATATCTAAGATCTTCAACGTTCAAATTTGCGAAAATTTTGCTCAAGTGGTCTACCTAGCTCACATATCAGGCTCCAAAAGTTTTAAATAGTGCATTACAAGGCCAGCCGAGATATTCATCAATCTTTAAGAACCAGAGAATACGTAAAATTCGGAGAGCGTTTATGAAAAAAAAAACGTTTTTTAGCTAACAAGGGAAGTACCCCAAGTGCGACGCTCAGATTTTCTTTAAATTTTGCAGACATGTCGGGTATGAACTAAATATCAATTCCTGAAAGTTTTAGCTCGCGCTTTGCCGGCGCCGCCGAGATATCGGTCGATTTATGCCGCCGAGAGAGCACGATAAACGTGGAGAGCGGTCAGAGAGAAAAACGCTTTTTGGCTATAACTTTGGCAGTTTCGTGCGGAAAAAATTGATTTTTTGCAGAAAAATGTTCCTTTACGGTAGAAATATGCATGAAACTTTCCGTGCCGAAATTCGGCAAAAAGTCCTAAATTTTAGCCGACTTTCGATCTAAAAATCTCGGTTGTTTCTGCAAAGGGCGAGCTAGGATTCTCGCATATAATATCTTAGAAAAAATTATTCTAAATTTGTGCCAAGTTTCATCAAAATCTGAGCGTCGCACTTGGGGTACTTCCCCTGTAAGCCTGCTGATCTTGCAGGAAAAAAGCTTTTTTATAACAATGCACTATAGCAATCAATATTGTAAAATACGGCCATGATGGCTCACCAATTTACCAACAAAATTCGTCTTTATATACAGCCATTCCACGATGTTCAACAACTCGATTGCCTGTTGAACCATGAAAACATTTTTTCGTCCCCCCCGGACAAATAATATTTTCATAATACGAACATGCGGATTAAGGGCTAAAACAGCTGAAAAATGGTGTCAGGCGGATGGATTTTCGTAGAGGGATACTGGTTTGATGAGACGAAAGGGGAGGACGGTTAATTTTTAAAACGTATTTTCGGCTTGAAGCGGAAGTGAAATGGATAGGATTATGAGTGATATGGAGGTGGAAAAGGGTTGCAAAAAAGTCTGCAGTTTGACGTGGGAGAGAGGTGAAAGTTTATCGCAGAAAATTCAGTTAATATTGGCGTATGTTTTGAAGTAATTTTCGGAGACGCTCAGAATTTTTTCGAGGTCTGCATTCGGCGGGCGAACACTTGCGGGCAACCACTTTGCGGGCAACCAGTTTGCGGGCAATTTTTTTGCGGGCAGCCACTTTGCGGGCAGCCGACATTTGCGGCCAGCACCGGCATTTGCGGGCAGCCTGGGACATTTGCGGGCAGGGTCGACAGTTGCGGGCAGCCGACACTTGCGGGCAACCGACACCTGATTGTGAGGGTAACAGGGTGGACGTGGAAAAATTACTATGATATTGTGGAAATTTGCCGACACTTGCGGGCAGCCGACATTTGCGGGCAACCGGCACTTGAGGATAACAAGGTGGAGGTGGAAAAATTGCTTCGATATTTTGGAAGTTTTCCGACATTTGCGGGCAGCCGACACTTGCGGGCAGCCGACATTTGCGGGCAACAGTTCCAAAAGTTGCTATACAGTCTGTGTGATTGTTTTTTCCTGTTGCCCGCAAATGTCGGCTGCCCGCAAGTGTCGGCCGCCCGCAAGTGTCGGCAGATTTCCAAAATATCGCAGTAATATTTCCACCTCCACCCTGTTACCCTCAGGTGCCGGTTGCCCGCAAATGTCGGCTGCCCGCAAGTGTCGGTTGCCCGCAAGTGTCCCAGGCTGCCCGCAAGTGTCTCAGCTGCCCGCAAATGTTTCAGCTGCCCGCAAATGTGACCCCCCAAATTTTGCCCGCAAAGTGGTTGCCCGCAAAAAATTTGCCCGCAAACTGGTTGCCCGCAAAGTGGTTGCCCGCAAGTGTCGCGACGCCCTGCATTCTTTAAAAGTTTTGCTCAAATTAGACATTTAGATGACTAAAAGAGACTGTGAGAGAGACGACATGAGAATATGATAGCTTTTCGAACGGACTATTTTTTTTAAATCGCCAAAAATTTTCGAATTTTTGCTATTATGGGCAATAAAATTTCGATTTTTTTGTGCAAAAAGAAAAATAGAAATCTTTAAAAGCTTTCAGCAAAATACACACCCAATTTCCGCTAAATTTAATCAAAAACAAAAAAGATTTTTTGAGCTCAAAAATTGGCCACTCTATCCCCCCAAAAAACAACAACAACGAATATTCGTCCTTTTTCTATGTCTTCATAAATCCTTTTTTTTATTCTTTCTCTGGAACCCGGCCAATTTGCCAATGCAATCGAATTAGCGGCCAAAATTAGCCAGACAAAGAAGGGCGTCGAAATCTTATAAACCGACTTCCAAACAAATTTACACTTGTATCAAAAAAAACGAAAGAGGAAAAAAAGTTGTGGCCCAGTGGCCAAATTTTCGTCTCCCTAGCGTCTCGAGGGGCATTCGGATTTTTGAGCATTCGAAAACGCAAAAAAAAACGTGTGACATTGTCGTATCTTGCCGCTCAGTTTAATGGGATTTGGAACAAAAAGAGAGAAAAAAGGGATGAATGTGAAGGGCCACGTGATTCCGTGTGAGGAAATGAATTTTGGGGGCCCAAAGACGGGACTTGGACTAATAATAGAAAAGCGCATGTTTTGGGCTGGGCTTTATAAGGGTATACATCAACAGTCGCATGGAAAAATGGTCAAACGGAGTCATCATAAGGGTAAACAGGGATTTCAAAATAAAAATGGGGGAAATTAGGGCCGAAAGAATTAAAGGTGTGGGGGAAATGATAAAAATCATTTTTGGAGTTTGTAAAAAACGTTTTAGCTTTTGCTGTTTCTTAAAAAAATTAAATCGAATATTGTTTAAATAAAAATGGACCAATTTTTAAAATTTTTACAGATTATGAAATCCCATACTTCAAAGTGTAAGGGTTCCTAAAATAGCTGGGAATCGAACCTAGCTTGGTTTGGCTTATCAGCCTGCTCAGCAACCACTGCACTATTGAAGCAACCCTCTTCGAGGATTTTTGTCCGCTCAAGAGAAAGAAAGATTTTTGTTGCGAAATGACCTAAAAATAATGAAATTTACAGTATGTCGTCGCGGAAAGGCATTCTGCAAAAAATGAAAATGGTATCTTGCACCATTTTCAAGGGCTTTCCAATGCACGCCACGAAAAACGTAAGGCAAAATTGGAAATAGAGATTTCGAGCTGCGCCCAATATTTTTAATTTTTTTGAAAGAATGAATATTGTGTTAGATGGTATTGTAACTCTGCGATTTGGAATAATTTAGGGATGAATAGTATCTCAAAAATTACGTTGTTCTCAGTTTCAAGTATTGAATATAATGGATGAGTCCATGGAGCCCGGCCCATCGCGCTGTGACCCAAACATTGATCTTCCATCTATCGACGTGCCTCCAGAAAATGTAAGATTTCTTTTTCTTTTGAGCTCTTTAGTGGTACGTTGAACGATGGATATTGTGTGGAACAACCTAGCGGACGTTGTAAAAAAGAAATCTGGAAATTTCACAGTTGAAAAAGGGCACTTGTCAGTTCATTATTGCATCATTTTGCAGGAACTGAGGGAGAAACGCAAGAAAGGGCTGGAGAAGGCACGAAACAAGCTGAAGCAGCTAAAGCAAAGGAAGATAAAGTTAGAAGAGATCAGCAGGAACGTCTGGTTGTATAAAATGGATGAATCCATGGAGCCCGGCACATCTAGCAATGACCCAAACATTGATCTTCCATCTACCGATGTGCCTCCAGAAAATGTAAGATTTCTCTTTCTTTTGAGCTCTTTAGTGGTACGTTGAGCGATGGATATTGTGTGGAACATCCTAGCGGACGTAATAAAGAAGAAATCTGGAAATTTCACAGTTGAAAAAGGGCACTTGTCAGTTCATTATTGCATCATGTTGCAGGAACTGACGGAGAAACGCAGGAATGGACTGGAGAAGGCGTGAGCGAAGCTGGATCAGAGGAAGCAGACGACGTTTAGAACATTTCAAGGTAAGTTTGTGACGTTGCCTTTTTGATTCCTTGTTTTTCTAGGCCATTGAGTTTATAAGTTTCTCTGGTTATACCTAAAATAATATAATTGATATTTCAGCCGGTCCATGTTGAAGTAGAATGTGAAAGCCAGCATAATGTACCAATGGGTGTGGAGATTGAATTCCGAGTTCAGATTGCATCCGACAAATTCGATGGATTGTCGAAAATTTATGTAATTTTAATTATTCTTATTGGTTTGATGTTTAGGTGGAAATGAAGAAGATTTGATGAATTTCAATTTATTAGTGGTCTGTTGTAGCAAGATCAAAGCCCTGTTAGTCTTGTAAACCCCGGAAGAGCTCCAATTCGGTCAGTTTCATCGATTTTGGTCCAATTGTGCCTAGTACAATATAATTTCTTTTCTCTTCTTCGATCAATCTAAGAAGTTCTGGGTGCACCTCCTAGATGCCTTTCGATGCTTTCTCGCCGGTTTCACACGTAATTTGTTGTTTATTAGAATTTTGGAATCATTTTTGTTATTTATTTGTAAAGGTTTCAGCGTATGAAATGTCGAAAACATTTTCCCGCGAATTTCTCTATTTCCACTTTTTTCGTGGCGTGCCAATGGTGTATATCACTTGCCATTTGGTGAGGGTTCGTTTGTACACTTCCCTAGTAAGTACCTTTTGTTGCTGTAGTGCAATTATTTTCGTTTTTCTTTAAATTTTTTAATAATTCTTTTTTTCGGGATTTTCAGAAATTCAAAATTGGTCATATCTCCCACCTTATCACTTTTTGGCCATATCACCAGCCTTATAGCACTCCCACGTTCCCTCTGATCAGCCCAAAAGTCATAAACAGAAACCAAAAAAACCCCTGCCCCATTTCTCCTCGCCACATCCATCCTCATCCATTCCAATCAAGCGCCCCAAACCCGTCATCCTCAAATGACCTCAAACCTGACAGGTCATTCGAGAAGGGCTTTGGCAACAGCAAACAAATCAGCGAAAAGGGAGGTAATGAGCATACGGGGCATGGCACTCCACTTTTATTTACTTGGGTGTGGATTTGGCAAACAAAAAAATTAATCAGTATAAGTTTTATGGCAAGGGATTATGGCTTAAAGAAGTCTGTCTGACATTGTGAATGACGTGCGGGGTAAAAATATTTATTATATTGATATTGATGGATCTACCAAAACTTTTCCCTCAAACCCCCCGACGTTTACATCGAGTCTTCGAAAATGATGGATTGGATAAAATGGAGCTTATCTATAGGCTGGAAAAAGGTTCGGGAGGTTTTAAAAGATGAAAAAATTACGTGGACAACAGAAGGAAAAAAAATTTTTTTAGTCAAAAAATTAAAATTTTCGGGAATTTTATTGTAAGCTTGAAATGTAACTACTCTAAAAAGCTTTTTTCTCTACAAAAAACAATTTTTTCCTTCCCGAAATTAATAAAAAATCTGCCGAAAATATTTTTTCTCTGATTGTCTCTCCTTATTTTGCATAATATCTCGTCTGCAAAGGCTAAGACTGCAAGGCAAAAAATGAAATTTTTTACAGTAATAAATATATTTCCCATACAGATAAAATGCAGAAAAATAAAGCGAAACGTCAAATGGTACCTCTAGTTCAGCGATTCCATCAACTTCTCCCAATTCTTCCATTTTCCCCAATGTTTTGCCTCAAATCTGAAAACTAAACCCATAAACCAATTCCAACACCGATAAGGTCCAAAAACGAACATTTCCCGCACGCGTTCAGCAAACATAATATTCGGCTTGATTTGTTTATCATCTCAAGAACTGAGACCCATTCCCAAACCACGCAATAAAAGAGAAAGGGCTTTTTGCGGGCTTGTCATCAAAAATAATGAGGGCTTAATCAACTTTGGAATTTATTTCGAATTTTGAAATTTATTCACTAAATTATGAAAATCTTGAAAAATAAAAAAAAATGTTTTTTTTATTTTCAAAAGACCTAAGCATAATTTTAAAATATTTTATCAAAAAAAATTCAAAACACAGCCTCCAAATCGGATTAAAACTCGATTTAATATTTCAAAATATGTTTTCATAGCCTGAGGCTCGTTTTTGGTATTTTTTTTTTGAATATGTTATTAGTATTGTAAGCGCCGCTAAATAATATGTCTGTGAAAAAGAAGGGGGAATTATTTTCATGTATAATGTAACATAAGCATACCCTTGGGGGAGTTTTGTGGTTTTCTGAATGGGTTTTTGGTTACAGAATAGAAAATCGGAAAGTAATTTTTAGAGGTAGAAACGGGTGGGAATTGTGGAATTAAAATGTAAATTTAGATGGTAAGTAGACGAAAATCTTTTTTTGGTTTTAACAAATTCTGTTGAATTCAAAAAATCTTGTTGTATATTAAAAGAATGAAAAATGGATTCACGGGATTAAAAATTTAAAAAAAATCTTTTTTTATTACAAACAGTTTTAAAATCGAAAAGTGATTTTTAGAGGCAGTAACGTGGGAATTGCGGAATTAAAATTTAGAATAAAAAATAAAATAAAATAAGTACTTTATGGATATTTAGTTACAGACTGATGGATAATTCAAATTTCTCAACGTTCCACGAGGCACTTTTTTAAAAAACCTTTTTTTCAGAAAATCTCAATTTGTAACTCTTTAAAAAAATCTGAGCGTTGCACCACAAACCTTCCCTTGCAAATAACAAACCATGCAAATTCCACCACCAACAATCCAAACTGTTAATTAAAAAAATTCTCGCTCTGCAGCTGACAGTTAATCATAAAAAAAAATAAAAAAACAAATCCATTCCAAATATCCCTATTTTAGGACTTTTTCATATGTTTTGCTCTGCGCTTATAGTGCAAGGATATTAAAGATATTAAAAAAAGTGGTCGACCTCATTTTCTATTTGCATTACCGACTGTACTAAACACCATCGTTGAGAGAACAATAAGAAAGGAAAGGAAGAGGTCTTTGGGGGGACGAAACGTTTACTTGTTTCGTTTTTTCGGCGAATCGAGAAACATGAGAAAATTTTTGATTGTAATAACAAATAAAAAATAATTTGAAAAGGTTTGGGTAAAAAAAAAACTTCCTTTTTTTAATTTTAAATCCTACAAGTGCTTTTTTTATTTTTTTAAATATGTTATAACACAACAACATTTTTTTATTTCAAAACAAAAAAAAAGAAAAAAAAGAAAAAATTGTTAAAATTCACCTTCTATTTCCACAATTCCCATCCGTTACTACCTCTAAAAATTCCTTTCCGATTTTCTAACTGTGACCAAGAACCCATTCAGAAAACCACAAAACGCCCTAAGGGTATACTTATATTACATTATACACGACAATAATTCCCTCTTCTCTTTTTGCAAACATATATTTAGCGGATCTTACAATACTAATAGCATATTCAAAAACAATAATAAAGATGGGCTCTCAGGCAGCGAAAACATACGTTTAACTGTTTTAAACGTATTTTTGCTAAAATATTCCTGGCATTCACTAACTGTTTAATGTAATAAATATAAAAATAAACTCTTTTTAACCTCTAAACTTTCTAAATTACTCAAAATTTCCCCATTAAAGGACCAGAAAAGGTATTTTTTGAACCGATTTTTTTATCGGCGTAATCAGGCAATTTCGTGGCGGGACCATCAAGGTATGTATGTGTTCTCGATTTTTGGAATGGAGAATAAAATTCTCCAGTGGATTCTAAATGGCCGCTTGGCCCAGAAACCTTGGTTTACGTGTTGAATGAGCTGCTCCATTTCCAGGAACTGGATCAAAACATCAAAGACCGTTCATGTAAGTTTCTTTTTTTGTCCTTCAGTTACTTTTTTAGGTATCTCTCCACGAGCAAGAAAGATTGGACAATTAGAACCAATAGGAGAAATATTGGACAGTTAGAACTGATTAGATTGTGCATCCGGGACTCGTGGAAGGGTATGGTCGAGAGAAACGTGGTGCACAGGTGAGAGTTTTTCATTTTTGTTTATTTTTTAGGTAGACCGGGACATGGATAATATATTTTTATCAGTGAAATTACGGCCCGAGCTTTATTTAATCACTGTATGAAGTATAGCAGAGTTGATGCTCGGTTTACAGAACAAATCATGTTTTTAATCCTCCGTTTTTATCATAAGTATGCACTTTTGCCATGGATAATATCAAAATTTGGGCTAAAACTAGCTTTTTGGGTAATAAGCTTGAACTTTTGGGCAATAGATTGTTTCTATTGATTATTTCAGGTTCCTGGAACGTCGAGAAAATACTACGGTGCTTGAGACTAGAACAAGGCCATCAGTGCGGAAAATGATCGCCTCACGACCGTTGATTTTTTTCTTTTCCCATCAATATTTCAAAATAAACCTTTGATTATGCTCTATGAATTGTGTTTGAGTTTGTCAAGGCACTTCACGCCTTGTTCAGAGTAAGTCCATGGAGAGAGGTACCTAAAATTCAAAAAACTGGATAAAACGGAAATAGTTGTACCAAAAACAGAGTAGCAAAAGTAAACGCTAAACTTTTGCCATCTTTCTGAGCCTAGAAGATCAAATAGAACCTGAAAGACGAACACAATCAGTAATTTTCGAATTTTTCATGAAGTACAACACAATTTTTGAACTTATATGACGATTTTCGATGGAATTCCTGAAATTGCACATCTTATTCAGCACGAATATCAATCTTTCTGGGCCAATCGGCCATTTAAAATTCACGGGAGAAGTTTATTCTCCATTCTAAAAATCGAGAACACATACATATCTTGATGGTCCCGCCACGAAATTGCCTGATTACGCCGATAAAAAAGTCGGTTCAAAAAATACCTTTTCTGGTCCTTTAATCGCTCTTTTCAGAACCCAGCTCATCCATCAAATTTATCCCCCTCTTTTCCCGCTTTACACAAATTTCATATGCAAATATCCAAAGGTCGGGACACAAAAACATTTTTAAGCTCCAGCCCCCACACATTTTTCAGGCCAAAAAATTTTATCCGAAGTGAAAAAAAAATTTTTTGGAAACAAAAAAAAACGATTGCCATATGGATGACAGTAAGGGGGGAAAGGAATCGTAAACTGGTTTGTTATAGGGAGCAATGGCGTGATCTGCAGCCACGTGTGATTCTGTTTTTGGAGGACTCAGATGGGCGATTGAATTTTAATGGAGCCCTGCAGTTTATTGCATAATAAATCGATTAAAAATTCCGTTTTTTTTGTTTTTTCAAATTTCAAAAATTTGAATTATAGGTCTCGAAATGTTTGAAAAAAAGTTTTAGAGGTCTTTCTCATTCTTTAAAAATCAAAAAAGAACAGAATCAAGGCAAAAAAGCCGATTATTTTGCGGTCTGAGCTTCGGTTTTTGAGAGATCAAGTGCACTGTGCGGATCAGGAAGAGGAAAACAGTTCACGTCCCATTGTTTTCGTTCTTTTTTTGTTTGTGTCCAAAAAGCCAAAGATTTTTGAAAATTTCACAGAGACAAAAGGAAAAAGAAAAAAGTTGAAAATTGCACCGTGCAGAAGTAAAAATGAAAAATTGCACCGTGCAGAGGAGACAAAGTCAAATTTCGGGGGGAAAATTGATTAAAATGAAAGTAGAAAATAGTGTGTGGTCTGTAAAATACCAAAAAAAATTTTTTTAATTATTTTTTGATCGATTATTTTTTGCACAGTGCAAATTTAAAAAAAATATTTTTCGCACTGTGCAGACGAAAAAAATCCATTTTCAGCCAACCCGCGCAAAAATAATTAGTTTCAATTTTTGATAACTACTATATGATGTTTAAAAATACGATCATGAATTTTATTCCACCTACAAAAAAATTTTTTTTTGTTGGATACATACCTAAAGTAATATATCCAATTTCAAAAATCCCAAGCATTTTGATTCCCAACGTCTCCAGTGTAATATTTCAGGTCAAAAAACAGGAAAAAACATGTCTAATGTTTTTTTTATTTTATAAAAAACAGACGTTTCCCATCCCTTTCCGGCTCGCTTTTACAAAAAATTTCGTTTTTCAAAAAGCACAACCAAAATTGAAGTTTTCAAAAAAAAGCCGAAAGTAATCACAAGCCAAAGGCAGCATAACGATAAGCGAGCCGGTTTCGGCGACCTCATGCCGCGTTATTTTGATATTTTTTGATTCGAAAAATTTTAAAATGGCCTTGATTCCGAAAAAATCTCTTTTCATTTTCGAATTGTAGCTGTCACAACGAAAGAAAGGGGGGAGTTTTGAAGAAATGACGGATGATAAGGAGTCAAGTGTAATCTGTTTTTGCCTGTTGTAATGATAAAAGGAAGACGGTAGGCACAAACAAAAGGATCAGAAGCTTATTGGAACAGATGATAAATGGGAGACCTAAAAGAGCAACAGAACAAATTAAAAAATTGAAGTATGAGCGGCGTATTTTACTCTTGTTTTACTTACAGGGGAAGTCTCCAAGTGCGATGCTCAGATTATGATGAAACTTGGCACAAATTTAGAATAATTTTTTCTAAGATATATGCGAGAATCCTAGCTCGCGCTTTGCAGAAACAACAGAGATTTTTAAATCGAAAGTCCGCCAAAATTTAGGACTTTTTGCGGAATTTCGGCACGAAAAGTTTCATGCCTATTTCTACCGTAAAGGATAATGTTTCTACAAAAAATCAAATTTTTCGGCACGAAACTGCCAAATTTATGGCCAAAAAGGTGTTTTCTCTCTGACCGTTCTCCACGTTTAGCGTGCTCTCTCGGCGGCAAAAATCGTTCGATATCTCGGCGGCGCCCGCAAACCGCGAGCTAAAACTTTCAGGAATTGATATTTAGCCCATACTCGACGTGTGTGCAAAATTTAAAGAAAATCTGAGCGTCGCACTTGGAGTACTTCATAGTTTTTTTCGTTTTTATCTCTTTTGAGGTTATAAATTTTTGCACAATGCCAAATTGGCGGGGAGAAAATGATGACTTTTTGAGGCATTCGAAATTTTCGAATTTTTGGAAAGTTTCTCCGGCCGAGTTTCTCTTATCTTTTCCATAGATTTGTTTCGAAAGAATTGTGGAATACCCTGCCGTTAAAAATAGCATGCCACACCACTTTTTTCAAAGATCAAGTAATCAATTAATCGGCAGTTAAGCAAAACGCACAAAATTTATACATTGGCATTATTGACGTCCACGACTGCTAACGTTCCATTGCTAACTGACTGATCCCACTAAAATTTAAGTTAATTACATTTTCCCATCTATCATGGATAACATAATGAAACCTCAAGAAATGCCAATCTTTCCAAGTCCTTACAGGGGAAGTACTCCAAGCGCGACGCTCAAATTTTCTTTAAATTTTGCACACACGTCGGGTATGGACTAAATATCAATTCCTGAAAGTCTTAGCTCGCGCTTTGCCGGCACCGCCGAGATATCGAACGATTTTTGCCGCCGAGAAAGCACGCTAAGCGTGGAGAGCGGTCAAAGCGAAAAACGCTTTTTGGCCTTAACCTTGGCAGTTTCTTGCGGAAAAATTTGATTTTTTGGAGAAACATTATCCTTTACGGTAGAAATAGGTATGCAACCTTTCGTGCCGAAATTCGGCAAAAATTCCTAAATTTTCGCCGACTTTCGATCTAAAAATCTCGGTTGTTTCTGCAAAGCGCGAGCTAGGATTCTCGCATATATCTTAGAAAAAATTATTCTAAATTTGTGCCAAGTTTCATCAAAATATGAGCGTCGCACTTGGAGTACTTCCCCTGTAAGCCAAATTACATCGACACCACTAACCACTACACTCTTTAACGTCTGAAACTCATTTCCAGCCTGCCCTTTCACCCCGCCAACATCTGTTTCTCAACCTTTCCCCCCAAATCCTATTAATGCAACCTGCGACCTTTCGCTTTCCCCCTCCCTTACTGTCAGTGTTGTTGCGAGCGGCGAAAGTAAAGGCTGAATCAGATGAAAGGCCATGAATAATATTTGTTTCTTTTCGGTACGATGATTTCCGGAAAACCGTTTTCCGTTTTTTATGGGCTTTTTATATCTTTTTGGAAGGGTTGGAACGTATTACTATAAAAAGTTGTTGTCTAAACCTTTGGTCGGGAGGATATGAGTAGGGGATCGGTCTTTAGATTTGAAAATATTCTGTCAATACTTTCATAGATCAAAAAACTTGGAGAAAACCTGAATCTATCATAAATAATGAAAATTTTATATATGAATATGGCTCAAAATCCTAATAAAACTCTTTGTTTTATTAAAAGTTTCTATTTATAATCCTTTTAAACCTTTTTCGGATATGATGCGACGGCCTCAACACAATGCCAAATTTGGCGGGAAATTCAAAAATTTCAAAATTCAACAGGGGAAATTGAAGCCGACTCAAAGTCAGCAGTGTTTTCGTTCCTGTTAAGCAGAAAAATAACAAGCAAAACGTGATTTTCTGCCTTCGGTACCTTGTATTACCAATAACAAAAAAATAATGACTAAAATTTTAAAAATTGAAAATTTCGCAAACCGCAATTCTAAATTACCAAGAACGCCTTATCAGTGAAAAAACATTATTTCAACCTCCAAATCCGCGGAAAACAAATACTGATAAGCCAAAAACTCATAACGAGCGGCTAATCAGAACTAATCCCCTCTTTTTTAATTTCCCTTCATTTTCACCCCGCTCTTCTGATCCGCTCACCACGCTCGAAAGAATATTCTTTTCCCACACGTATTCTTTCTTATATTCTCTCCTCTTGACTGACCAAAAAAAATACAAAACACAGAGCAGCGAGGAACGTCGTTTCTCGAAAAGAAAACTCAAGAGTAAAATTACAATAGAGAAAAGGAAAACAATAGGGGACGCCGACGTTGATGGTGTTGTTCTTCTGTGATGGGAACAGAGACCAAAGATATTTGATAAACTTTAGAGTGGTTATGAAAAGAATTTGGAATTTTTGAGGCGTTTGAAATTCTCGAATTTTTTGATGTTTTTGGAAGGTTTTCCTGGTCGATTTTTATCACTATGCATGCCCATTTTACCTTGATTTTACTTGTTAAAAATTGCCATTAAAAATAAAAGCCCAAAATTTTTCGGAACCATTTGTCCTGCCTGCTAGAAACACCAAAAAAATTGGAAGCTAACAGGGGGAAATACTCCAAGTGCGACGCTCAGATTTTCTTTAAATTTTGCATACACGCCGGGTATGGACCAAATATCAATTCCTGAAAGTTTTAGCTCGCGCTTTGTGGGCGCCGCCGAGATATCGAACGATTCTTGCTGCCAAGAGAGCACAATAAATGTGTAGAGCGGTCAGAGAGAAAAGCGCTTTTTGGCCATAACTTTGGCAGTTTCGTGCGGAAAAATTTGATTTTTTGTGGAAACATTACCATCTACGGTAGAAATAGGCATGAAACT